GTCCACAGGTCTGGTTTAAGAGAATAATTCTGAGAATTAAAGTCCACTGGTCTTAAAGTTGCCAAATGTGGAGACCCCTGTCCTAAGCCAATACAGCCATATTTATTAATATTTTACTACTGATATAATCCTGTCCTTTAGGAGTGATCCTCTCTACTGGGAAGAGAATGAGCTTCCTTAAAAAGCACCAACTCTTTTCCTAAAAAAAGGGAGCCACATTAAAACCACATCAAATCTTCTTAAAACTGCAGTTAAGGAAGCAACATCCATTCACACAAATATTGACAGTTTCAAAAGCCGCTCGAAAAATTTCACTTCGCCTTCCAAAACCTTTCCAAAAAGAAGGCCAGCAAAAAAAGAAAAATTCAAATGTATTCTTGTAAGCAGGCTTGTTTTGCTCCCAATGCATCCTTGACAAGTTCCAGGACATATTCCTCTTTTGCACAAACGGAGCACTTATGGGCCAAACAGTCTTTGAACTCCCCTGTCTTTGCTGGCAGGGTTATTTTTTTGGCAGGACTCCTGAACCCAGCGCTGACGAGCGGTGCCTTATGGCTTATTTGGCTACTATTCAAGCAACCCATTTCTGCCTCTTTAATGATCACGGTGATGGATTAGCCATTCCAAAAGCAACCATTATAGCAGCATCCCGAAGAAGCTTTTTTGTTATATTTTTGGAATAACAGAAAAGGATCTTCTTGCAGAAAGGAAAAGCTAATTCCCATCTGCTGGAAGGCCAAATACTGATGAACAAGTCAGGAATTTTTAAAACATTCGCTGTCTTTTCACAATTACTTTCCACTTTGAGAAACTGCTTTACCAGGCTTTGGTGGGTTTTGTCCCCAAGGCCAAAGACTTCTAAAAATTTCAGAGTTCCTTGAAAGATTAAAAAAAAAATATCAGTGAAATGCATTTATTTCCCTGGGAAAGAAAACTGAATGCAAGAAAGGGGACAGGAATAAACTTCTCAAAGTTTTTTTTTTCCTTTTGGCTGGAACGCCCTGCATTCAATACAGTCCTGAAAGTGCTCCGTGCCTCTGAAATGTTTAACAGCCCAAGGAAATCAAGCTTTTAAAAGAAAAATAAAATGTGTTGGTTGAGAAAAGCAAGTAATGCCTCTTTAGATTCAGATTTCCTGATGGCCAAACAGGTTTTTTTGCAAAATAAAAAATTCTAATAATGCAATGGTATGTATACATCAAAGGTGTGGACTTCAACTCCCAGAATTCCCAGCGATGACTGGGAAATTCTAGGAATTGAAGTCAAAATGCTAGCTGGGGAATTCTGGGATTTTTTTAAAAAAAAATCCTGCCTTTATTATAAATAATTCAAGCTGATGAAGACTTATGATATTCCTTTTTTTTTCCCATCCTGAGATGAGTTGTCGACCTTTTGCAGGTCTGTGTCTTGCAGATCTGTTGGTCAACTCTCAGCCACAGCTGGCTGAGGATTGGAGAGTTGGTGCTGGACACATCTGGAGGGGGTGAGTCAAGGAAGAGGGGTAGGGAAATCCGCTATGCTCAACTTAGCATCTCTCATTGGACTGTGACGGCGAGAAAACGAAAGCCCACCTAGTCCTTAGAGCAGGGGTCTCCAACCTTGACAACTTTCAAGACTTGTGGACTTCAACTCCCAGAATTCTTCAGCCAGCCACAGCAACAGGAAGTCTAAAAGCAGCGTTGCTGGCTCAGGAATTCTGGGAGTTGAAGTCCACAAGTCTTAAAGGTTGCCAAGGTTGGAGATCCCTGCCTTAGAGAACCCGTTCAACTATTGTAAACATCCATTTGTCTGGAATGCTATAAGGCAGTGGTGGCTAACTTTTTGGGGCTCCTGTGACAAAAATGGCATGCGTGCGTACATGCTCATGTGTCAGCACCCAGAAGGCAATGCGCGCATCCCCCCACACACCTGCGTGCACGATTTCCCCCCCCCCACTGCCCCCTTATCTGCACTGCGCCTCCCAGCTGATTTTCGGCCTGTTTGAGGCCTTTCTCGGCCTCCCAGAGGCTTGAGGGAAGCCTCTGCAGCCTTTGTAGGACGAAAAATGGGCCCCGTTTCACAGGAAGGCCGAATAAGGCCCGAAAATCAGCTGGGAGGCGCACCGCATGCACAGTGAGGTAATTCTGCCTGCGGCTTGCGTGCCCACACAAATGGCTCTGCGTGCCACCTGCCATAGGTTTGCCATCACGGCTATAGGGCTTCCTGCTTGAGCAGGGGGGTTGGACTAGAAGACCTCCAAGAACCCCGCTAACGTTTATTGTTATTCTGTTGCCCAGAGCCACCAGAAGTCGAACCCCCCAATACATTTAGCATATTATAATTCAACCAGGTTAGGATTCCCCACCAAAGCAATTATGCAAGCATTTTCATGACAACAATGCCAGCCAAGTTCAAAGGTGTGTTTTGTTTTGTTTTTTTGCTGGGTACCAGCAGATCCTTCAGAGCAGACGAACCAACAAAGACTCCAAACTCCCAAATCCAGGGGGTGGGATTGATTCTAAGGCGACCCCCCCACACACACACACGCAAAGAAGCAGCAGCTTCCAGCTCGGCCCCGTCCAAACCTAGTTAGCTCCCCTCCAACCCTGCTGGGCTGCTGCTGCTGCCTGGGTTCCTGGCGGGGCAGAGGGCCCGGGCCATTTGGAGGGCGCCCGGTTGCAAATGGGGACGGCTTGAACGTTTCTAGGGCGCCAGAGCCCCCTTTCGCTGGCCGGCAGGAAGAGAAGGGCAGGAGGCGGGGTGCAAAAAAAAAAAGAAGCAGGCAGGCAGAAGATGGGGAGGGGTCTCCTCTGCCTCGCCCCCCCCCCCCCCCCCAATATCTCTTTAGCCCGCCGCTGGTTCGGGCTGGCCGGGCATCCCTCCACCCAGCGGTGCCCGTTGTTTACGCCGGGCAGCCTGGCAGCCGCCCGTGCAGAGGGAGGGTTGCATGCCCCGGGGGAGGGGGCGCCCCTTCCCCGCCCGGGGCTGCAATAGAGACCCCCTTCCCCGCTGCCTCCCCCCCCGCCCGCCCGGGGTTGCAATAGCCTTGCAAGGAGAAGCGCCCGCCCGCCCGCCCGCCTCCCTCCCTCCTTCTGGCGATGCCCAGGGCGCAGCCCGCCCAGCCCGGCCCCGACTCACGCTCCACGTCGTGCAGCTTGGCCCTCTCCTCCTCCAGCTTGCCCTTCAGGCTCTCCGCCTCGGTCTTGAGCACGGCCAGGCTCTCCTTCTCCTGCAGCCCTTCGGTTGCCATCTTGGCCAGAAGGGGAAGAGAGAGAGAGAGAGAGAGAGGAGCGTGCAAGTGAGCCAGGCAGCCAGGGATGGGGAGGGGAGGATGGAGAGGGGAGGGGAGGGAGGGAAGGGTGGAAGGAGGAGCCTCCGCCCCCGCCGAGCCGAGCCCGGGGCAGCCCTTTCGGGAGCGCGCAGCGCGGGCGGCATCCACCGATGGATGGAGGATGGGGAGAAGCCCCGCGCGGATGGGTCTAAATCGGGTGACCCAAGTGGCCGACCCAATTTTGCTTTTTCTTTCTTTCTTTCTTTCTTTCTTTCTTTCTTTCTTTCTTTCTTTTTCTTCTCTCTTTCTCTCCCTTCCTTCCTTCATTTATTTATTTATTTATTCCCAGCTTTTTTCCCGTCTCAGCTTTTAAAATAGAATAACAGAAAAGTTGGAAGGGACCTAGAGGTCTTCTAGCCCAACCCCCTGCTTAGGCAGGAAACCCTACACCATTTCAGACCGATGGTTGTCCAATCTCATCTTAAAAACTCCCAGTGTCGGAGCATTCACAGCTTCTGGAGGCCAGTTGTTCCACTGGTTAATGGTTCTCACTGTCAATAATTTCCTCCTTAGTTCTAAGTTGCTTCTCTCCCTGATTAGTTTCCACCCGTTGCTTCTTGTCCTGCCTTTAAGGTGCTTTGGAGAATAGCTTGACTCCCTCTTCTTTGGGGCAGCCCCTGAGATATGGGAACACTGCTATCCTGTCTCCCCTAGTCCTTCTCTTCATTAAATGATCCCTTGGTTCACTCTGGGCTGCTTTGCCGAAAACTGGAAGTAAATACTGTACAAGCTGTCGAATTAGAAATCGTTCACAAGGGAGCCAGCTATTATCGGCATCTGGCAAGAGCTACTTGAAATTCGGAGAACAAGTCCTCCTAGTTCTTAAACCTGGCTGGGGAATTCTGGGAGTTGAAGTCCTCCAGGCTTAAGGTAGTGACGTATTTTATTTTTCTGGGCTCCAAGATCACCGCAGATGGGGACTGCAGCCAAGAAATTAAAAGATGCTTGCTCCTGGGGAGGAAAGCTATGGCAAATCTAGACAGCATCTTAAAAAGCAGAGTCACCACCCTGCCAATAAAAGTGCGTAGAGTCAAGGCTATGGTTTTCCCAGTTGCAATGTATGGCTGTAAAAGTTGGACCATAAGGAAGGCTGAGCACCAAAGAATGGAGGTCTTTGAACTCTGGTGCTGGAGAAGATTCCTGTGAGTCCCTTGGACTGCAAGGCGATCAAACTGGTCAGTCCCAGAGGAGATCAACCTTGACTGCTCTTTAGAAGGCCAGATCCTTTTAATCAGCTGCACATCAAGAGAGCATCTATAAGATGTTTTATAGATGGTACTTGCCCCCCTCCGAGATTGGCGAAAACGTATCTCAACATGAATCCGGCATGTTGGAAATTGCAAGAAGAAAGAAGGTACATTCTATCACATGTGATGATCCTGCCCGGAGACTCAAAAATATTGGCTAAAAATAAAAAAAAAATGGCTGCATGAGATCACTAACGAACAAATAGAATTAGAACCGGAATTATTCTTACTAGGGATATATAAAAAGAAATACAGGAGAAATATAAAATATATAGTATTACATATTTTAACAGCAGGTAGAATTGCTTATGCCCAGTGTTGGAAACATACATGTATACCACCAGATGAACTGATTATCCAAAAAGTAATGTCTTGTGCCGAGGTGGATAAATTAACTCTGATGTTACAAGAAAAGGAAGAGTCCGAGTATTATAGGATTTGGGGAAAATGGTATGACTGGATTGAGCTAAGATAGATGGATGATGAAAAATTAATGATAAGCAACATATAGGTTAAATGCTTACATTCGCATAAATTGTATATATTTGTAAATAATGCACAAAATAGTAGTATAAGATGAATGCCACAAACGGTTAATGTCAAGATATTTTTTGTTCATTTTAAAGTCATAAAAGATTAATAAAGTTTATTATAAAAATAAAAGAAGGCCAGATCCTAAAGATGAAACTCAAAGACTTTGGCCACCTCATGAGACAGGAAGGCCTGGAGGAACGTTGTCCATGGGGTTGCGATGGGTTGGACGCAACTTCACAACTAACAACAAGCTTAAAGTTGCCCAGGTTGGAGATCCCTGCCCTACACTATGACTCTGCAGTTTGGGTCGTGAAAGATCTGCAAGAAAGCAAGCTCAGGGAGAAGCAACAACCTCTCGTTTCAACCCACTCTGCTAAGAGAGTGAAGATGGGGTGCCACCAATCAGAAGGGACACCACACGAGATCCAGTAGATCTCCCCCGCCAACAGCCTTCCAATCATTGCAGGCCCTTACCTGCTTCACGCATAACGCACAGCAGCTGCGTTTCTCCGACTTACAATATATTTGTTGAAGAACCTTCTCTTTGCTACAAATGTCGCACGGCCCAAAAATATTGACCGCAAAGGTTTGGTCACACATCTTGGCAGGCCGCTGAAAGAGAGGAGAGCAGAAGTGACAGGTATGGCTTTCTTCCTGACTTAAAAATAATAATAACAGATAAACAGGAAGTTGGTTGATTAGACACAATAATTACATTTATTACTGACTGGAAATCCCCTATAGACTTTTTTTTCCAGAAAAAATGGGGAAAAAATGAACGTGATTGACGGGTTTGATGATTAGAAAGGACAGGCTATGCTACAAAGGAAATTATATTGTCATTTTAGAGAGAGGTAACATATAAATGTACTTATAATTGCTGTGAAGGTTGGAAGCAGTTTCTCTATAACTTTTCCTTTCTTTTTCTTTCCTTTTTCCCCGCTCTTTCTTTCCTTGCACCTTTTTTTCACTCACTAATTACTTTATTCTGTTCATACAAAAAACTTGGACCACAGCCATCTGCTGATGCCCAAGAAAGACTAAAGAATTTATAGTAGGAGAAATGAAAGTAAACCAACAATTTCTCTTTTATTTATCAAATCTGTATGGCTGTCCATCTCATGAATGGGACTCCAGGCAGGGTACAGTAGAACAATTAAAAATACAACTTTTTTTAAAAAATAAACAATTAAAACCCAAATTTAACTAAACAATTGATCAGGTGCAAATACATAGTGAGTGAAACAAGTCTTACAAAAACTTCAGTTTTATTTTGTTGGTATTTAGAATCATTTGTTCTTCTGGCAACGTTTTTAAAATCCTTGTACATAATGTTTTTATTTTAAGCCATGAACAAGTAAGGTACCAAACCCAACCGAAAACAAAACAGACTTTATTTTTTTTAAAAAAACCACTTCAGCATTACTCTACAGATAATTTAGGCTTGTAATCAAAAATAGTAAGGGTATTTCTTACCTTTTTTCACCCACAGTGATACCTTGAAGTGTTAGGAAGGCAGCAAGCTAATCAGTGGGCTATTTAAAATGTAGGAGGAAGAATTTAAGGCTGATTTAATCTACTTAGAGGGATTTACCAACCCTGCAATGTATAGAAGGACCTTGTGATGCTGCTTGAAGTTCCAGAGACTTGCAAATGGTTGAAATAGTTAAAGAAAATTCTAGGAAATGGATCATTCAATGAGGCTGGAATATGTTCCTTTCTTTTGCCTCAAATAGTTCTCCATTCCTCATCTAGCCAACATAGGTGAATCTGGTTTCTAACTCAGAAAGAGGCTGTTCCCATTAAAATCTCTAGGTATCTATATGGGGTATGCACCTTTTCCCCTGAAATCCTTCAAGGTTTAAAAAAAAACTTCTAAGAACACAAGAGAGAAATGAATTCCTTAATTCCTCTTGAATTAAGCTGCTTGTTTCACCTGGAATTAAAACATCATCCGTTCAACGCGGAGAGGTTTGTAACATATGTATAAAGAGGAGGCTAAAACCTTCTCTCTGCTGTTTTTTTTTGCCTTGGAAGAATTATTTTTTTAAGTGAACTTTATTAAATTTCAAAAATAAAAGATGAATTACAAAATAACAGAAAAGGAAAAATTAGGGGAGAGATCAAAAAGGGAAATGGTTTAAAAGCGACAAGAAAAAAAAAAGATTCTTGGGAGTTTCTTCAATATAGATACAAATATAAAGTAACTTCATACTCTTAAGTTAAAACAAAGACACATTGTATAAAAGTATACAAATTAAACAATCAAATAGCCTTAAAATTATATATCATAAAGTTTAAACATGAACATAAAAATATACAATATACAAGTATATATGTATTCATGACTATCAAGAATAACAATACACAATATTTCTATAATCATAACTAATCATTGAACCCTAAAATCAGTCCTTCATTTTTCTCAAGCAAGAACCCCATAAATAGTTTCCAAGTACAGTGAAACTCATCAAATTTGGTACTCAACACATTTTGAGGTAAAAATTTTGTCCAAGTAGTCATTCTTTGTCTGATACTCAATGCACAAGCTAGAACTTGTGACTCACTACGTTATTCCTTATGGGAAAAAATTATCTGGTTCTCATCGTTTTTGGTGCTCATCACACACTATTTGGAAGCAATTAAGGATAAGTACCAAGGTACCACTGTAGAAGCAAAACCGAATGTACCTTTCTCTTTTATTAAAATAATCACATTTGCCATATCTACCAATTCCATTAATTTCAAATTCCATGTTTGAGTGGTGGGGATTGTTTATCTTTCTACCATTGTGCATATAAATGTCTTGCCCCCTTTGTCATATACAAACGATTAATTCTTTTGATGAAAGATGAAAGTTGTAACAAATACACATTTAGCCAGTTTTAGATGACCTAGAAAAAGCTAAGTAGGAAGTTAGCTTATCTGTGTGGCAATGACTTCACACAATATCTAGTGGAATACTGTCATTTCATCTGTGGCACCGTCTATCATTATACACATGCCACACACATACGAAACATCTAACAAAACGACTGTCTTAGTCCATACTTTTACAACAGTGCCATTCTATAAGCTGTGTTCCAAATGCGACAGGTTAAAATAAACTCTTCCTTAGTCCTTCATTATGGAAAAAAATCCTTCATTATAAGCGTATTTATAAATTTAATTTATAAAATTATAAATTAAAATTGGAAGAATCTACAGCAGAGTTTCACAACTTTAAGAAGGGTGGGCTTCAACTCCCAGAATTCCCCCAGCCAGTCAGAATTCTAGGAGTTGAAGTCCACATACCTTAAAGTCGCTAGGATTTAAGAAATGCTAGCCTGGAGTCAGCATAACCGAATATCCATTTCTTACATTTTAAAAAAGCTTTACAGTTGAGTCCGTGGTGCTCTCTGAGCTCAGGAGTTTTCCTACAAACCTTTCATTATCGAACCAGGTAATATCATCAGTGATGCAAACTAGGTATCATCATCAGAAGATTTATGCTGATGCAGTAGCATTGCTAAACAGTCTGCATTTACTCTTTGGGAAAGAGTGAATTTATAATGCATTAGTTCTTGTAACTATATTCTAGTGAGGAAGCCAAGTTTGAAGCTGCTGGGGATTTCTATCATTTCCAGTGGATGAGGTGAAGGTGTAAAGGGAAATGTTACTTGAAAGAGGTATTTGGTATCAAGCATCAGTTGGGTGGAATTCTGTCTATTGTTCAGCATTCCCTGAAATTAGAATAAAGAGAAGGTTAACAATTTCCTGGATGCATGCATGCGTCTAAGCAGTTATATATGGATA